TTGCTCACCTGCTAGGTTCTAGGGGCAAGGTGACTATTTCTGGGTCAGTAGGCGCAGCTGCCCCCTCAGCCTCCTGCTCCTGCTGATAACGGTGAAAAACATAGCTGCGGAAAACCTCCTCGGTGTCCCGGGCTACCTGCTCCTCTGAGGATCAAAGCCAGGAGTCAGGGAGGAAGGGCTGGACGGCCCCATGCTTTGTGGATGGGTCTTTCTTCCTCAAGGCCTCGGCTGTCCTCACCCGTGAACAGAAATGTCCCTACTCCAGCCCTTAGTTAACAACTAGTGCTTATCGCGTATAGGATATTTTTCTAGCACGTTTCACTGAAGCCTCGTAATAGCCTTGTGAAGCAGACGAACACCCCAGTTTACAGGTGGGGAGCTGAGGCACGGGGTGTTTACATAACTTGTACAAGGTCACACAGTCAAGAATGAGCAGTGGAGCCAGGACATAATCCCAGGCATGTGGGCCCCTGAGTTTTAGTGTGTACAGGCTGGGTAGCCCTTATGGCTCGGGGAATGTGGGAAACAAAATTTAGAATTCCAGCTTTGGGTCCAGAAGAGTTACATAGGGACACAGTGACATACAGGGGACTGAACCCAAAGCCCAGGGAGCAGTCTGTAGTGGGCTGGGAATCGCAGCCCTTTGATGGTCCCCTTGGAAAAGGGAAGAAAGGCAGCCATCTTACTTCCCCCCCCAAAGTCATAACAATCGCTTTCACCAGTCAGCAGGGCTGCCGGGGTGATAAGCCTAGGAACTTCCTTCTTTCTCCTACTGTAGGAATAGAATAGCCACGCCCCACTCTTCATTCTTCTCCTCACCCCCTCCTGCCTCTCTTCCTGGAGATGGCGTGGTGCCCACCTCACGCTCACTCCCAGGCCTCTCCTAGCCTCTGCCCCCCACCCCCAGGCCCAGACTCCTCCCCACTTCCAGGGCTTAACCTGGACCGCACTGCAGCTTCTGAGGTCACCTGCACACACCTGCACTGGGTGGGGAGATGCTTTCTGCTTTACCCAAGGTGAGTGAACGGGGGGCAGGAGAGCCTGCCTGTAAGTCTGGCCTGGCCCTGTCCACTCCTGCTCTCTCCATCCTCTCAGACAGCCCTGGTGGCTGTGGGATGGGGGAGGATGGCAGAAAGACCCTTACCAGAAGTAGCAGACGGGGCAGTCTCTTCACACTCCTGCCTGGGAGGACCTGGGCCTTGCCCGGATGCCATTTCTCAGGTCCCAGTGGAGGGCAGCGCTATCCTGTGGGGACGGGTGAGAGACAGCAGAGATGGGGACTGGCAGGGGCTGTTGATGAGGGGGAGGGTCCCCCACTCCCCCAAAAGACCCCTCCATCCTAGCTCCAGCCAAGTCTCATTTCACCACCCTGGGTCCCTGTGGAGTCTGTCGGCAGAATCAGAACTTACTGAGCATTTCACTAGCAAGAGAGGGCGAGAAAGGCAAGGCAGTCAGGATTTGTACCTAGGGACCTGGACCCCGCAGCCAGGGCCCTGGGGAGGGGTGGTTGGAGTAGTGCCCTCGTGGGTCTCAAGTCCTCTTTCACCTCGCTGCTGGGTAAATGAGGCTGGTTGCAGAGGCTGGGGTTCCTTCTGCTGCTCCTGGGCCCTCCTGCACCCTCCCTAGCACACCCTCACCACAGGATTACCACCTTCTAGCCAATGACCCATGAAACTTGTGCTCGGAGGTCCCACTTCCCCTTGGCTGGTCAGAGCACCCCTGTTTTCCAACTCAGGCCTGTTAGCTACGAACACTTCCTGAGCACCTATGGTATACTTCTACTGCTCCCCCAGGGGTGTCAGACACTGAAAATGCACATTAACCCAGCAAGGTAAGCATCATCATGTCCCTTTTACAGGTGGGAAAAGTGAGGCACCAAGAAGTTGGGGCCCGAGGCCACATAGCCACTCAGGGAGTCAGGGTGGTAATCTGAATTTCCATGAGTTCATACGCTCAATACTCACATAAGATTTACTTTCCAGTTTGTGGACCTCAGAGGTTACCCTTTCAAGACAATCACCTGTTTACATCCTACCTTGGCTTGGCTCTTCCCATTCCTGCCTTGCCGTGAGCTGAGGAAGTCTTCTCCACAGCTCTCCCACCCTGCCTCCCACCTGACATATGTATCCCCACCACATACCTGCTGTCCCGTCCCTGGCCCCAGTTTTCCTCTTTGCTCAATCCTGGCCACAGCCCTGATCTGCTCTGTGAACCCTCAACAGAGGGAGTATTTCCTGGACGTGAGCTGTTTCACTTTCAATTCTCACCCCTTCATACCCACCCCAAAGCTGCCTCCATCACTCTTTGGGGGAAGTAGCCTTCCTCCTGCCTCGGGGGAAGGCCCAGTCCCACCCTGGGCTGAGCACAGCCACCACCTCCTCCCAGGGAGGACCTGACTACCCTCCTCCCCGCCCAGTCCTCCTGCCTCTCAGGCCTGGGGCCATTTTCGAAAGTGCCCCAAGGCAAGAGCTCTCCGGAAGGTGTGGAGGAAGGCTCTCCACCCCTCCACTTACTGGGGGCAGGGATAGGGAGAAGCCCGACCCTCCCTTCCTCTGTCCCTGGGCGCCAGCTTGAAACAGATCTTTGCCTGGCACACCCCCATCCCTGCTCCTTCCGGAAGATGCCGTTCCCTCTCCCCTGGTCCCTGAACGAGACCTGGAACCCCCAGGACAGCAGGGGGGTTGCTGATTGCACCACCAACTCTCTCTGCCACTACCCCAGGGGCTCACTGCTGGGGAGTAGGTGAAACATCAGAATGGCCCCCAGGGCCAGAGGCCTATGCTGACCTGGGCCTACCCTTGCCCTCATCCAAGTGGCCTGACTTCCTGGTAAGGGGAGTCCATTGCTCTCTACTTGCTGGGCTTAGAATATTCCCCAGGGGGAGATGCCTGGTTGGGCTGCAGACCCAGTCTAGGGCTCCTAGGGCAGCAGGAAGCACCAGGAAAGTTCTCTCCCTGACCTTGACCTTGGCTCCGATCTCCACTCCCACCCCCCACCCCACCCCGCCCCAGACTGCTAAAGGACCTGGTTCTTTGGCACCCGATTTCTTTGACAGGAAGGGCAATGGGGGAGCTGTCTGAGGGGAAGCCAGAGGGAGCCCCGGCTGGATCAGGCCCCGAGCAGACGTTGGCGGAGCTGCCCAGGCAAGTCTCCGGGCCTCCCTGTCCCCACCTGGCTGCCTGCAGGCTCCTTGTACCCCCTGGGCCTGGGGCTGCCGAAAGCCGGGAGGATGGGCAAGACCCTCCCACCTTACCTGCCAGGACCCTCGCCCAGGCCCGGGATGGCTCACAGGGCCAAGGCCAGAGATCCTGAGGGGCCAGCGGCTGCTCCTGGGGGTCGGGTGCCCAGGCCCAGCTTCCTGGAACAGGCGTCAGTACAGTCCCGATGTCTGGACGCGGCTTCTGCTTGCCCCAGCTTGGCCCTAGGGACCCGCGAGGCTGCCCGGATCCTAGACGTGCCGGCTCTTCCCGGCTCCAATTAGCTCCCTCTAGAGGAAGTCGCTGTGTGGCCGCCGGATGCTGATGAAGGGCCTATAGCCTGGGGGTCGGTCTGGGCTCCTCCGCAGAGGAGGTGCTCCACCCTTTACACTTGGCCCCGGCCAGGTGGCAAGGCTCCCCTTCTCCCACTTCTGATTTCCAGTCCCGGTCTTTGATCTTTACCCTCTTTCATGAATCAATACCAATAAAAAAGGCAGGATGGCTTAAGCACCACAGTGTGCCTTGCACTTTAGTTACCATTCTCTCATTGAATCTTTTTTTTTTTTTAAACAGTATGGTAC